AAGAATTAGCGAACTCTCCTGATGAACCGCGAACTCGCAAACTCTTCTTCTTCTACTGCTGTACCGAAATTTTTTCTTCCCTGCCCTCGAACCTCGCTCTGATACCACTTGTTGAGAAAATTAAGGTGAAGAAAAACAAGAACGACACAAATCCAAAAGAACACGAAGATTTAACGAGGTTCGACAAAGATGCATACGTCCTCGGGAGCAGAGCGGCGACCTCCTTTTCAATATTCAGAAAAGAGTACAGAATACAATATTCAGCTCTCTCAAAGACTTATGATTACAAACAGGTTTATTTATAATCATATAGTAAACCCTACAGTACAATATGTAATTCCCAAATTACTCTTGTACCGTATAACCCCAACCCACATAACGTAACTTCCCGATTTGGACAGATTCTTCCGCTCCGCTCAGCTTCGTTTCAACGTCTGTCCCTATATAATATATGAGTCATACCATAACAATATTCAAACTCTATTGCCCAAACCTCATGAGCTATCGTTCCACATGACTTAAATTATTCTTTATTTAACTCACAGCCGATAAAAGATAGTTCAATGAGGAACCTTTTCTTGCAAAAATTAAATATTACACACTCTGTAAGACAAAGATAAATAGCATAAAGGAGAAGGAATCTTCAAATCTAGAGACTTAGGTTCCGTTAGGAGAAGCTGCGGCCTATTGTCAATCTGTTGATAAGCAACTGATACAGATAAGTTGATATCAGCAGCTAGTCCGACATAAGTTGGTTGGTTGTTCGGTTCGTGCTGTTGGAAAACAGCTGATTTGTAGTTGATTGTGATTAAATGATCATTTTGTCTCTATGCATTAATGTTATTTGCAATAAGATTGTCATAGCAATATATTTGTCACTTGAGAAGCAAAAAATTACTTCAAAATAGTAGAAAAAAAAATGTATACATCTCATATAATAGTGAGTATCAAGTGTATTAAAAAAAGAAAAATAGTATTAAAATTACAATAAAAATATGATAATATTAATTTTAAAATCCAGACGGTGTATGTTCCGAGTTTCACCAAAAAGAAATTATGTTCTATACTACTAGCATTAACCTTTTGGCCAAGTAATATTGTCTTTCAAATGAAAAAAAAAAAACCTAAAATTTATTGGTGCCGGTATAATAATTCTACACCCACGATAACTTCGAAGAAAGAATAAAAGAGAAAATAAATTCCAACAGTCCAACCAAAATAGAAAGCCACAACTCAATCACGAGCCGACCACCCAAATTTCAGCAGAAATAGACAATTACATGTCATTTTTGTTTCATGTGATACATGAGGGTTCTCTATCAGAATAATTAAAACAAGTCCAACATCCAACACCCAACAAAAGGCAACAGTCGAGAGAGTATGATATCACTCACAGAAAAATTGAGAAAGCCAAAAAATTACAAAAAAAGTCATTCGTTTGAAATCCTCCACAAAGAGTAAGATATTACTCACAGAAAAGTCATTCTATTGAAAATCACCACAACAAAGGCAACAATATTACTTGCAGAGCACCGTAACGACAGGTCGCAGAGAGGAAGAGGATGAGAAAGGCAACAATAGAGAGAGACACGTGAGAACGGCGAGTGAGAGAGACAATCGGGGAGCGATCGAAGTAATGGGATGAAGGCAGCAGAGAGGATCGAAGAGGCACCTAGAGCTTGGGATGAAGACAAAGACAACGAGGGTGGAGAGGAAAGAAAATAACTCCTAGCGAGGGCCACGGGGACGAACCCCGAGGCCGACGTTTATTAGAAAGTCATACTCGCGTATCGCAAAACACACCGAAGAAAGAGAAATCAAAAGGAAAGAAGACGTTTTGAAAACGCAAATTCAGCCGATAAGCTGCGCCAAACAAGCTCTTAATTGTTTCCTCTATAAAAATTTGGCATCCAAATTATATACCGATTAAATTATATGCCACATTGATAATAAAAATTCAAATAAATTATAAATGTTCAACTGTATTGTTTTATAATTTATTCAAATTATATTTGAACATTGCTTGAATCTTATTTGAATTATACTAAATTATATATGAATTATATTTGAATTTTTCTCCAACATTGTTGAATTTATGCCTGAGTTATTCTCAAAGTTTGTTTGAACCTTTGTTTAAGCTAATTTACTTAATTATAAACTTTTAATGAGCAAATTGCAAAAGCATGGCCATAAATTTCATCCCATAAGGAAGCTTCCAAAAAAAAATAATAATAATAATTCATATATTCTTAACAATTTTTCAATAATGAGTTATTTAAAGTCAAATTTCTCTAATATTTTTACATTGCAGATTCATTTTATGAGATTTAAGGCCATTTTTATAAAACTTAGATCACAAAAAATAAATGCAATATCAAATGAGTTTAGGATAGCGGGATTTTTTTTTCATATTCTTTTTGGGAAATTGAAATTAGGATTAGCTAGATTATCATATTTTATATTTTATTTTTGCTTTTATAGTGAAGTTTTAAATTTATTTTTTCAAGTTGATGCGTGCTAGAAAATTCGCGACAGCAGGGTAATGGATTAATGTCTTAGTGTTGCACGAGAATTCAGTACACTCATGTGAAAGAAAAACAACCAGTAATAACATCAAAATTTTTTTTTTTATGTGGAAAAAATCATAAAGGGGAAAAATCACGGGATCTAACTTAGTTTTAAGAATTTACTATAGGTTGATAATTATAGAAACTCATTGTCTCACAAATGGGAAAGGTTTACTAGGGTTTTCAAGTTGGTTTCTGATCAGTGTTGGTCAATGGTAATTGGTGGTGATCAATGATGCTCAGCGACGGTCGACGACGGTCAGCAGTGCTCGATGACTATCTGTGGTTATAGATGCTAGTTGACAGTGGTCGACGGCGATCGACAGGTGTCAACTACAACTAGTGATGGTCGACGACGAGCTGTGAGTGTTGACGACAGTTGGCGATGATCAGGGGGTGTCAATGACAGTTGTCGGTAGTCGATGTTGGGAGACAGCGATCGACGATGACAGAGATTGTGCTTGACTTCAGCTCATTCTAAAAGCTTCAAGCATCTCCCCTTATTAGAGGGTCGAGCTCTATTTATAGTGTTATAGGTGCAATTAATGCATAAATATGAACTACTTTGATAGGATGATCCTGAAAGTTTTTTTCGATCAAATGGTGTTTTAT